CTTGCACAGCTATTAAGTAATGGAAATTATATTTGAACCCAGGAAGTTTCACTCCAGACTATATGGTCGTAAACTTTGTAACACCATTTTTCAATTGCTACTTTGGTGTATTAAAACCCTAGGAAAAGAATATGATCGATCTGGCTTGGGTCATATGCCATCCCTTGGATGAACTGCTCCAGCCAGGAGAATGCTGTATTATGATTGGCTTACTCTGGGTCAGGTAACCACCCCTATAGTCAACTGGGCAGTGTAATATGCTTAACAGTTCTACTACATAGTTGGGGAGAGGGAAACATTTACTGCTAAAACAAGAAAGAGGGCAGGGGCCGTGACTTATGCCTGTAATTCCAACACTTTGCGAGGCCGAAGCAGATCACTTGAGCTTAGGTGTTTGAGACCAGCCGGGGCAACATGAGGAAACCCAGTCTCTACAAAACAATACAAAAATTAGCTGTTCACAGTGGCATGTGCCTATAGTTCCAGCTACTCGTGAGGCTGAGGCGGGAGGATTACTTAAGCCCTGGCGGCAGAGATTCCAGTGAGCCCAGATCACGTGATCGCACTCCAGACTGGGTGACAGAGTGAGACCCTGTCTCAAAAAAACATTTTAAAAGAAAAATAATCCAAGAAAGAAAAACGGGGTACAGGGCAGACAATAATGATTGAACTACCTTTTCCATAATGCTATTTCTTACTCCTGCTCATCTGTTCATAATGCTCTCATTGTTTAGCGTGCTCTACCTAACATTCTCCCACAAGTACACACCTCAGCTTGAAGAAAGGTAAAATATCTACTTGGAAGCCTTCCATTATCACTCCGCTCAAGTTCAGTTATATCCTCTTTACTCCTATGCCCATAATATCCTGCACATATCTCTTTTATGATGTTGCCCATATAGCATACATCTCTATCTCTCCCACTATACTGTGATTGCCTTTAAAACCATCAATGTGCTGTATTCATCTTTCTATCCCACATGCCTAACCCTGTGTCCACACCTATAGTAGGACTTCAATAAATCTTGGTTGACAGAATGGCAGATTTAAAAGTTTCTTGGGAAAAACCAAAAGCAAGAGTCCTAAGATTAATTGAGTTTCTGTGGTAATATAGTCAGAAAAAATTCCCAGGTGACATGCTCTGTCTACTAGTAATTTCATTCTTTCTGTTTCACAGCCTGCTAAAAACAATGCTTGTTTAGTGACTGTATTGTGGAGTAAGGAGAAGTGAGAATTCCACGTTCTTTGTAAAATTATGAATTATAGAAGAATTGAGTTGGAAGGGTGCTTAGAGATTATTTAGTCCAGTGTTTGTCATTTAATATATAAGAACTCAAAAGCCAAACTATTTTATGATAAAGTACACAGAGTAAAGACAGTCAACTCAAAATCGATTAAAGACTTAAATATAAGAGCTGAAAGTTGTAAAACCCATAGGAAAAAAAACATAAGGGAAAAGCTTTATGACATCAGTCTATGCAGTGATTTCATGGAAATGACATCAAAAGCTCAGGCAACAAAAGTAAAAATAAACAGGTGGGTCTACATCAAACTAAAAAAACTTCTGCACAGTGAAGGAAATAGTGCAAAAAGACAATCTATGGAAAGAGAGAAATATTTGCAAACTATATATCTGGTAAGTGGCTAATCTCTAAAATATATAAGAAACTGCTATGACTCAACAGCAACAACAACAAAAAAAGCCCCCCCACAAAACCCTAATAACTTCATTTTAAAATGGAATAAGGACTTGAATAGACGTTTCTTTGAAGAAGACATATGAAGAGTCAACAGGTATATGAAGAGATATTCAATGTCACTAATCGTCAGGGAAATGCAATCACAATGACAATCACTCACACTTATTGACTATCCCTTACCAAAACGCTTGGGACCAGAAGTGTTTCACATTTCGGGTTGTTTTTCTTTCCCCCCAATTTTGGAATATTTACATATACATAATGATATATGTCGGGGATGAGATGTAAGTCTAGACAGAAAATTCGCTTATGTTTCATATCCACCTTATACATTTTATACCATCGCCTGAAGGTAATTTTATACAATAGTTTAAATAGTTTTGTGCATGAAATGAAGATTTGACTGCAATCTACGACATAAAGTCAGGTGTAGAATTTTCCACTTGTGGTATCATGTCAGTGTTCAAAAAGTTTCATATTTTGGAGCATTTCAGATTTGATATTTGGATTAGGGATACATAATCTGTATTTTTTTTTAAAGGCAGTAAGTGTTGGCTGGCTGTGGAGAAATTGGAACCCTTCTGTACTGTTGGCAGGAATGCAACATGGTGCAGCCACTATGAAAATCAATATGGAGTTGCCTCAAAAAATTAGAAATAGAATTACCGTATGATCCAGCAACCTCACTTCTGAGTATTTCTCCAAAAAATTTGAATCAGAATCTTAAAGAGAGATTAGCACTCCAATATTCATTGTAGCACTATTCACAAAAGCCAAAATAAATGAAAACCTAAATGCCCATTTACAAATGAATGGAATTTTATATGTATATATACAATGGAACATTGTCCAGCCTTAAAAAGAAAGAAATTCTGCCATATGTGACAATATGAATGAACCTGTAAGACACTATGCCAGGCAAAATAAACCAGTCACGGAAGGGAAAATACTATATGATTTCACTTACATGAGATATCAAAAACATTCAAACCAATGGAAACAAAGAATAGAATTGTGGTTTCCAGGGGCTAGGAAGAGAGGGAAATGAGGAGTTGCTGATAGGTATAAAATTAATTATGCAAAGTGAATAAGTTTTAGAGATCCACTGTAAAACATTGTGACTATGGATGACCATACTGTATTATATAGTTTAAAATCTGATAAAAGGGTAAATCTCATGGTAAGTGTTCTTAAAATAGTTTATATTTAAAACTTAAAAGTTAAAAGAAGGAATGATCAAAGAGGTCAAACTTTTAGAGTTAATTCATTAGAGACATCTGTATTATTTGAATATTCTCTTTCATGAAATATCTATCAAACACTCTAACCATTAATTGGATTGCCTTTTCCTTAGTGTTTTGTGAGAATGATTTATATATTCTGTATATGAGTCATTTGAAAATATATGAATTAAAATTTTAAAAATAGACTAGATGTATTTACATTGAGTTGTGTGTATAATTCTTATTCCCTTCCATACAAATATTTTTTAAAATTTGTTTTAGTGAGATTCATCTAAATTAATAGAGTACTAATCTATTAATTTAATGTTTTAATTCTAAATTTACTTGAATAAATACTTATTGCCTGGGAATATATCACTGCTGTCAGTGCTAACATAGATATGCATGTTGCTGATGAATGAGAAATAATCTATAGTCACCTGATGAAGATTATTATTATTAATTTTTTTTGAGATGGAGTTTTGCTCTTGTTGCCCAGGCTAGAGTGCAATGACACAATCTCAGTTTACTTCAACCTCCGCCTCCCAGGTTCAAGTGATTCTCCTGCCTCGGCCTCCCAAATAGCTGGGATTACAGCCATGCACCAGCAAGCCCAGCTAACTTTTTTGTACTTGGTAGAGACGGGGTTTGACCATGTTGGCCAGGCTGGTCTCGAGCTCCTGACCTCAGGTGATCCACCTTCTTTGGCCTCCCAAAGTGCTGGGATTATAGGCATTAGCCACTGCGCCTGGCCTGATGAAGATTATTTTATGTAGCAAGTATTTGGTCATTGTATATAAAGTCATATTAATCTTGTATAATGGAAACACACCTGATTTTATTATTTTGTATCTAGTAATAAGGCAAAAAGTTACCATTGAGATGAAATTTCAGATATTCTAAAAATGGTCAATGGACACTGCTTCCTAATCAGATAAATCAGAAATAGCCTCAGTTGCATGTTTGTGTGGCCTCTGTTTATATCCCATCTCAACCGTTATCATTTATACTGCCAAAAGATTGCAAATACTCATGGATAATCCATGTAGTTGAGCAATAGAAGCATCAGGAGAAGTGGTAGGCACATGATGTTTCCTTTTGCCATTTTACCCCTTGCGCTTTTGCAATTCTCCTTCTCACAAAGGGGACTCCCCAATCTGGATCTTCCATTCCATGAGCCACTTCATACTCTTAATCTTGTTGTTTTCTCATCTTTCTGTGAGGATTTACCCATCTCATGCCTCCCTGTTCCAGGAATGTCATCTAATTTGATGAAGAATCTCAGGGAACGTGCTAGGGACAGATGGTTTAAATGTGATCTATAGGAATGTCAATGTATTGATTTTTTCTGATAAAAAATAATTTGTGGTTAAATAAAATTGGGAAATGTTATATACCCTATCACTCTCTTGGAAACTCAAAATGTACATTAGCATACTTAGAGGTTCTGAGAAGTCCAACAGTTAAGAATCTGGTTTCCCTTTGTTTAACACCATGTTTCTCACACTTATTTGAACCTTATTTTCAAGGCACTTGGAATACTAATCTTATAGAGAACACACTTTCTTGTTTGTTTGAGATGGAGTTTCACGCTTGTTGCCCAGGCTGGAGTGCAATGGAGCCATCTTGTCTCACCGCAACCTCCCCATCTCCAGTCCAAGCGATTCTCCTGCCTCAGCCTCCCAAGTAGCTGGAATTACAGGCATTCGCCACCAAGCCTGGCTAAGTTTTTGTATTTTTAGTAGAGACAGGGTTTCACCAAGTTGGCCAGGTTGGTCTCGAACTCCTGACCTCAGGTAATCCACTGCCTTGGCTTCCCAAAGTGCTGGGATTACAGGAGTGAGCCCCCACACCTGGCCAAGAACACCCTCTGTATTAGAACACACACTATATCAGAAAATGTTAAGGACATTATATGTCATATAGCATGTTTGCATTTTACAGAGACTTTATAGACAACGTTCTAACTTAGCATCACGTTCATAGAGAAGAACAATTATTTTTATTCCTCTTTCGTTGTTATCCCTTTCTTGTGCCATCCACAAATTTTTTCTTTCTTTCTTTCTTTTTTATGGGAACCACACAGACTGCATCATCTCCCTCTTACTCTCTGGGAAGAAAAGAAAAATAATCATCAATGGCAAATAGCAGTTACAGCAAAGCAACACCAACAGCTGGCTTCACATTTAGGAGAGAATGCTGTTCTTCTTCCTCATGTTTCCTAGTGCTGCACATGTTCAGAGAAACTTCCCCAGTAAGGAACTATAGAAATGAACCTTGAAAATATAGTCTTCACAATTTCTTATTATTATTGCACCTGAATCACTTTCCTTTCACCTAAACTCCATCCTTTAGAATTTCCTTTAGTGAGGGTCTACTGGTTATCTGAAAATGCCACTATTTCAAACTAATCATCAGAAATGGACATATTTCAATGGGTACGGAATTCTAGGTTAGCAGTTATTTCCATTCAGCTCTTTGAAAACTTTGATCCTATGTCTTCTGATTTCCATTGTAGCTCTTGAGAAGTCAACTATTATTTTAACTGTGACTGCTTATAAAATCTCTTTGCCTTTGATGTTCAACCATTTCACTGTGATTTGTCCTATTGTAGATTTATTTTTATACATATTTTATGTACCATACTTCAGTGTCACTGCATTCAAGAATCTGTAGATTAGTATTTTTAGTTGTTTCTAGAGAGTACACAGCTATGTAGGAGGTATTCTTTATTTCCCTGATTCTTAGAAATTACCTGAGACTCTTGTATATCTAAAAGTGTGGGGGGGGGGGTCCGTGATTACTAATGGCTAAAGAGAATTGGTCCTTTGATTCTCCGAGGAAGTTATGGAGTAGAACTTCTTGAAAAGCCTCCATTGTCAATAAATAGCCAACCATAGGAAGATAGGCAATTAATGTCACCCCTGAATTATTCAGTTCAGGATTCCCATGTTAAAGTCAAAAGAACTCTCATGGTAAGAATTGTCCTGCTGTAAATGTAGAGGAGTTTGGCACCTGTTTGTAAGGGGACTGTTCTCACACTCACAAAATTCTTAATAGGAAGTTGCCAATTCTACTTATTTTAAGAGCTTATCAGGCAGCTGGATTTTAGTAGAAATTAGCTTTTAGATTCTCTCAGAAACTTTCATCAAGCTCTATTGGAATTCATCCAGTTTCTTGATTTCTTAAATGTTATTTGGTAGTACTGAGCTTTTTAATGTTAAAGCAAGAGAAACCCGAAGAATAAGCTAACATTTTGGGGATTATAGCTGCCCTCACCTTCATGCCCTGCTTAGATCATCTTTCCTGGGCAGATAGCTCTAGGTGACAAGGTAGTCAGTTATAGTGCTATCCAAACTCAGCCTTTAAGACTGTTTTCAGAGGCACTAATTGGATGCTTTCCAGAAAGTTCTGGCCCACTAGAGATCATCATTGAATATCGTAGTACCTAAAAGTCAAAGGAATGAAAAAGTAACCCCTGAAAATCTAAATGTTAGAAAGAATTTTGAGTAAATAGCTGTAAGGTAGAATAGAACTTTGTGAGGAGAGAATAAAATTACATTACCTGAGTATGCCCACCACATCTTTTTTGAAACAGATGGTACCATGGTAAAAAGAAAAATCATATGAAGAAAACATTAACTATAAGCAAAGATTGCATTTTAATACTTTCTATCAGAATTGTCATTAATTCAACACACTTTGATATACTTTTAAATATGTGCCAGGTACTGTTCACTCTCTGAAATTATTTGTAATATGCCCCTAAAGGTATTTGCACTGAGCTTGAGGTATATTTCACTACTGCAGTGGCTCAATTTAACTAATAAAGAGAATACATTAGAATAAATATTACGAAATTATCAAATAAAAATCTAAAAATATTTCCTAGAATAGAAGGCTGTCAATCCATTGATTGAAAGGACCTATTAATTGTCTAGTACAACAACAAAAGAAAGTTAAAAAAAACCCACACCCAGGCAAATTTTTATAAAATTTAGGACTCTGGAGACAAAGAGAAGTTTCCAAAGAAAAAAACAAATATGTTACACGCACATAGAAAGAAAAAGAATTAGAATAGCTTCTGACTTCTCAATAATAATACTAGAAACTAGAGGGCAATGCTCAATATTCTGAGACTGATGATTTCAATCTAAAATGCCATATGCAATCAAATTATCAATTGAGATATATTTTTTCTCACTAAAATCTTTAAGTATTTTATCTCTCATATAGCCTCTCCTAGGAAGCTACTGGAGAATGTACTCTACCTAAACTAGAAAAAAAAAATAAAGTAGTATATAAAAAGCAATTGATTCAATGCGAGAAAGCGAGAGAGAGAGAGAGAGAGAGAGAAAGGAAATTCCATTAATGATGACTAACTGAAGTTCCAGGATGTCTGTGTTAGTCCATTTTTGCATTGCTGTAAAGAAATACCTGACACTGGGTAATTCATAAAGAAAAGAGGTTTAATCAGCTTGTGGTTCTGCAGGCTGTATAGAAAGCTTAGCAGCATCTGCTTCTGGGGAGGCCTCAGGAAGCTTCCAATCATGGCAGAAGGCAAAAGGGGAGCAGGCATTTCACATGGCGGGAGCCAAAGGAAGAGAGAGTTGTTTGGGGGACGTGCTACACACTTCTAAACAACCATATTTCATGAGAACTCACTCACAATGGAGAGATCAGCACCGAGACATGAAGGATCTGCCCTCATGATCCAAAGACCTCCTGCAAGGCCTTACCTTCAACATTGGGAATTACAATTCAATATGAGATTTGAGCAGGGACAAATATCCAAACTGTATCATCAGAGCTAAAGTACAACAAGTCCAGACTAGACTGTAAGATGAAAGGATCCATAAAATCAAGGAATTTACAAATTACTAGACTGGTTGAAGAATGTTGGAGATCATGAAAAAAATTAGGCATATATATTTTTGAATAGACAAAAAATAACATTATTAAGTCAGAGGAAAAAAATGCTATGTATGAAAGCAAATGTAACTAGGAGTGCTGCTGTGGTCTGAATGTGTGTGTGTCACCCCAAATTTATGTGTTGTGTGGTGCCCTTACAAATGGGATTAGTACTGTGATAGAGGCTAAGGAGACCATAGCCCTCGTCTTCCATCCATGTGAGGACAGAACTAGAAGATGTCATCTAGGAGCCAGAAAGCAGGCCTTCCCCATACACCCAATCTGCCACATCCTTGATCTTGAGCTTCCTAGACTTCAGAACTATGAGAAATAAATTTCTTTTATTTATAAGCCACCACATCTATGATATTTTGTTATAGCAGTCCAAACAGACTAAAACAATTGCTATGGTTTTTCTTTCAGCTACCATTTTAGCAAAAATCTGAACTCGTTCATCCAGAGTTGACAATGTCCTTTGACCCTAAAGTTAATAGCGACCATAAAAGTAATTGTCCAAACTTGGAAGCTTTCAAGAGTGAAAAGTAGGTGCTATTACTAGTTAAGGTAGAGCAACAGGCATAACTTAGGTCTATCTTGAGCAAACTAGTTAAGGTGAAACAACACACATAATTTAGATCTATCATAGGCAAACTGAGATGTATGGCTATCCTAGCTGTTGTGAAACTACTACTGTCTACCTGGTGGCAGTTTACCTTTAATTGAAGTCAAAGAATTCAGGAGAAAATAAACTTCTGATTTTGGAAGCTCCCTCCTAAAACATGATTTTTAAAATCACAATCTACTTCTGAAGTGGGAGTCAGATGCTTTATTTTCAGGTATTTGGGCATACATAGCTTACTATGTAAAAACAAGGAAATAATTCTGATTTGTGAAAGAATTTGAAAATTACATTCTAGGAACAGACTTTTAAAAAATGTATAATATTATTTCATAAATTGCTGATATTAGCAAACACAAATTCTAAGAGAGCTTCCCAATAAGACTTGAAATGTGAAAATCCTATTAAAGCTCATCTTAGAGCTTTAACAACTTGACTTCATTAACTAATGTGTAACTATTATCTTCCTGCATTTTTGTCAATCCTTTTCCAGTCTTTAGCTAGGCTTATTCATTAATTAGATTAATTATATAGAGGACCTCCTCTAGTCCCAATATATACTCAAAATCCCTATCAAGTATGTGCTATATTTAAAAACATATTACTAAACTATTATCAGAAGGGCCAAAATCCAAATATTTTCTACCTTAAAAACCTGACCAAAACTCTGTGACAAGCCTTCGATTTTGAGGGCTAGGAGTTTTTCTTTTTCTTTTTCCAAGCAGCATTGTGAATATATTCATAAGGATTTGAATTGTGATTTCTTGACAAGGAATCAAGACATTGCTGCTGTTCTTGTCATTTGAAGATTTCCCCATCAAGTGTAACATGAACAGAGAAGGGACTATTACCCTAATCTTCACATTTCCACTTGATAAGTTCACATGTGACCATTTTGATGTGCTTTATAGTATACTATCAAGATACAGTAAAGAAGATTCACAGCTTCTAATGCTATCAAGGTTTTGTAATGTCTATTAGTTATGAGTGAATTTGCCCAAATGAATAAACATAACTATTAAAACCACATACATAGCACCACTAATAAAAAAGACTTGTATAACTTAAATAGGTAGTCACATTATTAGAAAACTACCTCACGAGCTTTTTTCTTGTTTAAAACCTATTAGTCTTCTATTTCTTGCTTTTAAAACATCTATTTTTTATTTTACTTTCATTATTTTTATGAAATAAATATTAACCTGGTTTTGGACTCTTATTTTTTAGAAGAATATGTAATGACTTGACCTTTTTAATAATATGTCATCTATGGAAACCCATGAATATTGTGTTAACTGGTGGTTACAAAATTGATTCAATTTCAAACATTCATCCATACTCCTAATTCTGGGAATTGTGCTTCCAAAAAAACTTTGTACTTCTAGATTGAGATGAGAGAAAAAGTATATGGGTGATTCTACAAACTTTTTCTATGCATGTACATATCTAGCCAAGTATACAATCCCAAATCATTAAGCCATTAACATCTTGGAGAAGGGTGGACAAGCTTGAAGGGAAGCTATTTAGGAGTAGAGAGTAGTGTTACCAATAAAAGAAAAAATGGAGGAAAGATTAGATTAAGGTCCTAAACCTTGAATGATTACAGTGACCTATACAATGCTGCATAATTTTTTAAATTAATTAAAAAATTAATTTACAGTAAAAGACTTAAATATGTGTAATATTAATATGGCATCTCTCTCTCTCTCCCTCTTTTTAAAATAACAAATCTGGATATGTTAATCAAAGCTGAACTTTACTGG